ACACTCCACTGATCTCCCCCCAGTGTGCCCCAGGTACTCCTCAGATCATTTTGTCCATGCTGTTTGCCCCCCGGGTTGTTTGCCTGCCTTCTCTCTAGGGGTAGGGCAGCACCCTTAGGGCTCTATCCCAGCCAAGCCCATTGGCCTTTAAAACTCCAGTTTTCAAGTACTGCTGGTTCCAGGAACTCAAGAAAATCAGCCCCTCTCATTTTTCCAGCGTGTGTCTTTGGGGGAAATGTTTTTCTGTGTTCCCCTGTATGCTCTTCTCTCTCTTGCATTTCTCTGCGACCATGGTTCCTTCCTCTCTGTGGCACCTGTGATCTCCGCTAAACCACATCTCCACATTTCCTACCTTCCTCGCTTCTCTCCCTTTAGTTGTGGAGTTTGTTCTGTCAGTCTTCAGGTTGATTTCTGGGGTATTTAGAATGATTTGATAGTTATCTACCTGTGTTTCTGGGGATGAGACGAGCCTAGGGTCCTCCTACTCTTCTGTAATCTCTCTCTTCCTTGCATATTATAATTGTATATATTTATAATTCTCTGAGATCATAATGTGTCTATTCCACTTACTTGCATTTATCTTGGAAGTGGGATAGTTCAGCTAAACAGCTTTTGGAACTTTTAGAGAATAGGTGTTTTAAATATAGTCAGTGACTCACTTCTTTTCTTAGCTATAGCTTTTAAAGGAAAATTAAAGTATTCATGGATAGGGTCGCCTGGGTGGCTCAGTCGTTAAGTGTCTGCCTTCGGCTCGGGTCATGATCCCAGGTTTGTGGGATTGAGCCCCACATCGGGCTCCCTGCTCGGCAGGAAGCCTGCTACTCCTTCTCCCACTCCTTCTGCTTGTGTTCCTGCTCTCACTATCTCTCTCTCTGTCAAATAAATAAATAAAATCTTAAAAAAAAAGTATGGATAAATTATTTTTATAAAATTTTGCGTTTTTTCTTTTTTTTTAGAGAAAGAGCGCATATGTATGAGCTATGGGGAGGGGGAGAGGGAGAGAGAATATTTTTTATTTTTAAAGATTTTATTTATTTATTTGAGAGAGAGAGAGAGAAACTGAGCAGGGAGAGCAGTAGAGGGAGCAGGAGAAGCAGGCTCCCCTCTGAGCAGGGAGCCTGATGGGGGCTCGATCCCAGAGTCCTGGGATCATGACCTGAGCCGAAGGCAGACGCTTTAACCCACTGAGCCACCCAGGCGCCCTGGGAGAGAGAGAATCTTAAGTAGGCTCCACACCCAGCGTGGAGCCCAGTGTGGTTCTTGATCTCACAACCCTGAGATCATGACCTGAACTGAAATCAAGAGTCAGATGCTTAACTCACTGAGCCACTCAGGCACCCCAGCTTTAGCATTTTGTATTCTCATTTTTTAGTGAGAGAAAACACATATACACATTGAATATGTATTCTCTTGTTTTATTTTTTTGAAGTAAGCTCTATGCCCAACTTGGGGGTTGAATTCACAATCCTGAGGTCAGGAGTCACATGCTCCACTGACTGAACCAGCCAGGCACCCTCTACTGTTTTTTTCTTAACGCAACATTTCTTTTAAATCGGTCTCTTGAAGTGTCAGTAGTAGTATTGCATAAGTTTGGCTCTATGATATTTTTCATGTTTATGGGTATCTTATACATATAAAAGAATATATACGGTATATGTAGATAAGTGCATATGTAAATTATAACGGTTTAGAAACTTGTGTAGTCTGATCTTTTTTAACAGCTTTATTATCCACATGTGATACCATTCATTTGTACAATGTACACTTGAATGTTTTATGGTGTTTAGAGTTGTGCAGCCACCTATCACAATCAAATTTAGAACATTTTTCCTCTTCTCCAAAAGAAACACTGTTCTCTTTAGCCCATTTCCTCTTCAGACTCTCAGGCCTAAGCAACCACTACTCTACTTTTTTGTGGATTTCTCTATTCTGGACAGCTCATACAAATGGGGTCATACAATATCTGGCCTGTTGTGATTGTCTTTTTTCATTTAGCATACTATTTTCAAGGCCCATGTTGTAGCATGAATTACTGCTTCATTCCTTTTTTTTTTTCTTTACAGATTTTATTTATTTATTTGACAGAGCGAGACATAGTGAGAGAGGGAACACAGCGGGGGGGGGGATTGGGGAGGGAGAAGCAGGCTTCCTGTAGAGCAGGGAGCCCAGTGCAGGGCTCAATCCCAGGACCCTGGAATCATGACCTGAGCCCGAGGCAGACGCTTAATGACTGAGCCACGCAGGTGCCCCTGCTTCATTCCTTTTTATGGCTTACTAATATTCTAATGTGAGATATCCACCTTTTGTTTAATCAGTCATTAATTAGTGGATATTTGAGCTGATTCTACTTTTTTGCTATTATGAATAATACTGCTTTGGGCTTTTGTATACGGGTTTCTGTGTGGGCATGTTTTCATTTAATTTTTTTTGTGTATGTACCTAGGAGTAGAATTGCTGGGTTATATTGAACATCTATGTTTAAACATTTGAGGAATTTCCAGATTGTTTTCCAAAGTGACTGTATCATATTACAGTCCCACCTGCAATTTATGAGGGTTCCAATTTCTTTATATGCTTGCCAACACTTGTTAATGTCGGTCATTTTGATTATAGCCATCTTAGAGGTGTCGGGTAGTATCCTACCATGGTTTTGATGTGCATTTCCTTAGTGACTAATGATATTGAGCATCTTTTCATGTCCGAATTGGTCATTGGCATATCTTCTTTGGAGACATGGCTATTCATTTCTTTTGTCCCTTTTTAAAATTTTGTCTGTCTTTTTGCTGTTGAGTTGTAAGAGTTCTTTATGTATTCTGGGTACAAGTTCCTTATCAGATGTATGATTTGCAGATATTTTCTTTCATTCTTTTGGCTTGTCTTTTAAATTTTTTGATATTTTTAAAGCACAAACCTTTTTTAATTTTAATGAAGTCCAGTTGATATACTTTTTTCTTTGTTTGCTTGCACTTTTGGTGGCCTAATTAACAAGGATTTACTTAACCCAGGGTCACAAAGATTTACCCCTATTTTTTCTTACAAGAGTTTTATAGTTTTAACTTTTCCATTTAGATCTATGATTTATTTTTGTAAAATATGTAAGAATGTAGTCAACTTCATATTTTTGCTTGTAGATAACCAGTTATCCCAACATATTTGTTGAAAAAAACTATTATTTCCTCATTGAATTGTCTTGACATTCTTGTTGAAAATCGGTTGAACACAAATATAAGGGTTTCTTTTTGGGCTTTCAGTTGTAGTTCATTGACCTATATTTCTGTTTTTATGCCAGTACCACACAGTCTTTATAATAGTAACTTCGTGTGGTAAGGTTTTTTAATTTAATAGTATGAGTATCCAACTTTGGTTTTTTGCTATTCTGGGTCCTTATGTACTTTTAAGTAAAATTTTATTTATTTATTTATTTTTATTTTTATTTTTATTTTTTAGCAAGGCAGAGGAGACCCCAAGCTAACAGCCCCAGGTGCCGAGGTTTATTTTTCCATACTCTTATATACCTTCTACAGCGATATAGATCTATAATGATTTATAGCAGAGGCGTAGTAAGGCACATTCCTCCAGGTATACAGGATTAGTCAAGCATGTAAGAATCTTTAAAACAGAATAAAGGAACAGAGGGGAGTGCCCAGTGTGCTGTTTACAGGACAAGGGAACAAAGAGGGGAGTGCACAGCGTGCTGTTTACAGCTGGCTTCCTATCTACAAAACATCTGCTGCTGCGTACTTTAGAACTGACCACACACATTCCAAGGGCATTTCACTCTGATCCTTGCAGGTTATTTTTTTAACCCTGCAATCTCGAGTTTTCTCAGAGATCTCGGAGTCTGAGTGAACATGCACCAGTGGTTCTTGTGGCGTTCTGTTTCCCCCTTTCTTTTTTCAAATTAGCCACTGTCGTAAGTACTCTGTGATGGAGATTTTGGGCACTCATTTGTTTTTTTGAGGGTACAGTATCTGGGATCCAGACCCCCATATGGGCCTGGAGAAGAAGGATGGAATCCGTACTGTGCAGAGGCTCATGTCGCCACCGCTAACATAGCCAGGAACAAATGTTCAGGGGTTTTGGTAGATCTGGTTGTTTCTAGGACTCGCTCCGCCCTCTGAGTGAGGGTCTTCAGTTGCCCCCAAGTTGGTGGTGGCAATTTTCATTTTCGAGGCCTCTTCAAGGAGAGTGTTGCCATCTCTCAGGCAGGGGGTTGGGTAGTCAATCCCTGCAGCGGCTGAGAGACCTCTTTTGTTGTCTTTATCACCGGTCCTGGGCCGGACTTTCCGAAGAGGTATCCAGATTGCTCGACTGGATCTATTACCTTCTGTAGGGTTCCTATCGCTGGCCGATCACTCCTCGACAGGGGCTTCAGGTCCCTGTTCAGGTGCCACTTGTCGACCTCTGAGAGTCGGGGACCTGGGGTGGCGAAGGAACTGAGAAAAAGAGATGACAGTATAGCGAGGCACAGGGGACCCCTAGCTAACAGCTCGAGGCCGTAAAATTTGATTTTAAAAATTTGTAACTTTAAATAAAATGTTCTTTTCAATAAGTTTTTAAACCAGGTAGTGAAGTCATTTATATAGTGATTTGAAACTAATTCTTTCCAGTCATTTACATAGTGATTTGAAACTAATTCTTTCCATCTTTCTCTATTCTAATACCTTATCATTTGAGCAACAAATTTCCAAATTTGATATTACTACCTATCTCTTTTAATTGGAATACTTTTGCATCTTTTTTCATTGTAAGAAATGAAGCAAATAAGATTTGTATATCCAGCAGGTCACATGGAATGTTTTTATCATTAAAGTAATATTACTGTGTATTTTGGAAAATATAGAAGTTAGGAAAAGTGTTTTGGATAAAGACACTTAGATATAATCATGGTATAGAATAACATGTAGTAGAAATATATACAGTATTGTAAAGTCTCATTTTCTTGATTTCAGTATTAAAGTTTTTCATGTGAATCAATAACTCAGAGTATTTTCCTTTAGGCCATTGCATTACCTCCTATAGCCAAATGGCCATACCAGAATGGTTTCACATTTCATACCTGGCTAAGAATGGATCCTGTAAATAACATCAATGTGGATAAGGATAAACCATATTTATATTGGTATGTATTTTTGTAAGTTAGTGTTATTATCTTACTTTGAAAGTGAGAGAATATCTAGAGGTAAAATGAAAATTATTCTTTGTAGTTTCAGAACGAGCAAAGGTCTTGGTTACTCTGCTCACTTTGTTGGGGGCTGTTTGATTATAACATCAATAAAGTCAAAAGGAAAAGGCTTTCAACACTGTGTGAAGTTTGATTTTAAACCACAAAAGGTATGTGTTCTTATTAGTTAAATTAACAAGCCATGCTAGCTTTCAAAGTGCTTTGTTTTAATATTAATGATATAACATGTGATAGATCACAACTCTGTTTATTCTGTTTCAGAAAATGAAGTATAAATCACTGGACAATTGTTAACCTTCCTGATTTGGATAATAAAAAGCATGATATTTTGTTATTCATAGAATTTAAAAGAAGTACAAGGGGAAAATATCAAAATATCAAATACTATTACTTTAGTAGTAGTAGTAGTAGTAGTAGTAGTATGTGCCTTAAAATTTAGAGATTAATGAATGGTGTATGTATATATAAATAAGTAGATAAAACAAATGTGGCAAAATGTTGACAATTGTGCTATCTAGAATGGTGGAAAAGAGGGTATTTGTACTGAACTTCTAATTTTTTTGGGATATATTTGAAAATTTTCACAATAAAAAGTTGGAAAGATAATTTCACAGTAAGTTCTTACCTATTGAGAGTTCCCTTGATTAAATACTGTTCCAGAGGTTGAATATTGAATTTAATAAAGGTAGTCTTATTTTTAGATTTAATTGTAATTTATAATTTAAGTTTTACTTGTTATTATCAATGTGGTTGAGTTTATTGCAAGAATTTTTTTTTTCTTCAAACTTTTTACTTATTCAGTGGTATATGGTGACTATAGTGCACATTTATAACCGATGGAAGAACAGTGAGCTTCGTTGTTACGTGAATGGTGAGCTAGCTTCCTATGGAGAGATAACATGGTTTGTCAACACCAGTGATGTAAGTAATTTGAAAAAAATTATTTTAAAAGCATGAACTTTTAAAATAAGAAAAATATATTATACATTGGGTATCAATTTTAGAATACCACAATGGCAGAGTTTTATAATGATATTTTGGCTAGCATGTTAATATATTTATAGAGTAGAACTGTGTTCATGTGCACATATTACTCAGTCATTATAAAATTATTCTAGATAGGGTAGAGATGAAGCTTTATAGGTAACGATGGGTATATATTGAAAATGTATCATTGGTTCATTTATCAAATTAAAGTTGGGAGCTCTATGGCAGAATTCTGATCATTTTTATGAATGAATTAGATGATACATGCTTATAAATTTTGCAAATAATTCATAGCTGCTTTTGATGACTGTTATCTAATAATGTTTTCAGGATTGAAAAAGAGATCCATATGTACTAAACTCAAATTTTAAATAGGAATTAAATTAAAAAGTTCTTTTTTCTCACCAATGACATTTTTTAATAGAAAACTTGAAAAATACAGATCAGTAAAATGATTACAAACCATTCCACCCATTCACCATCATATGCTTCTTTTGTATCCTATGCTACACGTATTTATGTATTATGTAATGATAATCTTAAGAGTTCAGGTTGTTGTAGTAGACTTAGGTTTGAATCCCAGTTCTATCACTTATTGACTATATGACCTTACTTAATCTATTAGGCCTGAGTTTCTCTACCTGGAAATGGGTGTAAAGTAGTACCTATCTCAAGGTTAATGTGGTAATTGAATGAGGAACTGTTCACAAATCTGTTAGCACAGTGCCTTGTACAGAGTAAGTGCTCAGTAAATGTTAGCACTTATTTTTTAACACAAAAAGGGGATCAGATATATTTGTTTCTTAAACTGTTTTTTCCTTATGTTAGTCTTTATTAAGTGCTTCTTGTACTCCAGGCATTGTAATAAATACCTTTATTTTCTAAAAGTACTAACCTTGCAAGGTAAGTACTACTATAATCTCCATTTTACAGGTAAGGAGACTGAAGCACAGAAAGATCAACTAATTTGCCAAGATCAGCAGCCTGTGAAGTAGTGATTTGACTTAGGTGGCCTGTCTTCAGAACCCAAATGTTAACTTTTCTGTATTCCCTAATGGCAATATGTATATATTTTTCAACATTCTTTCTAATGGTTTTGTCACATAAGCCGATACTTTTAAAGAGCTGTGAAGAACTTTATTTTAGTCCCTCTTTGTTGTATACATGGGTCTTTAAAATGTGGTTTGCAACCTAGATGTTAAGAGAATTTTTTTTTTTTAATGTTAGAAGAAAAACATACACCTGCATTTCTGGATTTACATATTTCTTTTGAGAGATTGTATCTACTCCATGACCTCACCCATTATTTATATCTCGATATCTGCAAAAATCTTTCTTTACAATTTTAACTTCTCACCAAACTTACAGAACCCTGTTGACTGTTGCTTCTCCATTCATGTTAGCTCCATCCATATTAACTCACAGAAAAGGCAGATTATGTCCTAAACTTAACTCATGATTTTTCCTTTTTGTAACAAAGACTGCTTCTTTGGTTGCCCAAGTATGAACCTTCAGAGTCCATAATGATTTCTCTCTCATTTCCTGCATCCACTTTTTCATTTTTTTTATTTATTGTACTTTGGAAAACTTGTGTTATCTCCTTTTCTGTGATGTCTTTCCTGATCTCTACGGTAGGTAACAATGAGTGAATGAAGTGAAATGCTAAGTGAATTATTTTAATCTAGCCAGGTTAGTTTAGAGCAGACAGAACATTTATACTGAAACATTTAAGCAATGTAGGTTGCTTAATGTATCTATCTAGAGAAGATAATTTTTTTGTTTTTTTCTCTAATAAAATCTATTTTCTTTCACAGACCTTTGACAAATGTTTCCTGGGCTCATCAGAAACAGCGGATGCTAATAGAGTATTCTGTGGTCAGATGACTGCAGTTTACCTTTTTAGTGAAGCTCTTAATGCTGCTCAGATTTTTGCTATTTATCAGTTGGGCCTGGGATATAAGGTACTTAACTTGCTGTTCACTGCTTAACCAGTGTTAACTGAACTTTATTTAAAGGGAGGTGATGCATGGAGCAACCTACCTTGGGTTACAAAACTGAATGTCAGAGTAATCAGAGGTACCACAGGGAAGTCACAGGAATCTGAATGAAGGGTACTTTATATTTTTGAGGGAAACACAGTATACTTGTCATATGTGGGGCACTGTGCAAACTACTAGCTCAAGTTTCACCTTTAGTTCATGTTGCATTTCTTTGACGATGTCTATCTTTGCATAACTAAATTTTCAACATTTGCTGTGATAAAAAACAAGTACCATGTGGAAATTAATGTGGAACAGGAAATGAGGATGATGGTGTGAAATCTGATTCCAAATTTGAGAGTTCATGCAGTTCAAGATGCATAAAAAGTAATAAATCATTTTGCTAATGTAATGAAGAAAACATTTTTTTCTTTTGACTTGTGCCTTAATTTTTTGAGATGGCTATTAAATTGTTAAAATACAAAATTGTTTGAACCGAACCACTCAATAATATTTATTTTGATCAAAAGCACCATAAACAATTACTGAAATGCTGAGACTGTTGTGAACTAAGAAAAGTTGGAAACCTCTGGGTTAAGCTATTGTTAGTCTAGTTTAGTTTCAGGGAGCAACTTAGTCTGCTATGTTCCTTTGAAAACAAAATCTGTTTTATTGAGTTGATTTACATATACCATTACAGTCAGTAAAGTACACATATTTTAATTAGTTTTGTCAAAACTATAACTATCACAACAATCAAGAAATAGAATATTTCTGTTCCTGCGTAAGGTTCAGTGGTGCTTCTTCTGTCAATTCCTTCCACTTTTTTTTTTTTTAAAGGTTTTATTTATTCATTTGTCAGAGGGAGAGAGAGCACAAATGGGAGAGAGGTAGAGGGAGAGGGAGAAGCAGACTTCCTGCCAAGCAAGGAACCCAGTGCGGGACTCGATCCCAGGACCCTAGGATCATGACCTGAGCCGAAGGCAGACTCTTAACTGACTGAGCCACCCAAGTGTCCCTCCTTCCACTTTTCTAGCCACACTGCATTCCTTTTGAGAGAAACTGCTTATCTGTCGCTTGATTAGGTTTTTTAAGGTTTTATGTAAATGGAATCATGCAACATGTGCTCCTTGGAGTTTGGTTCCTTATGAGTCATACATGTTGTTTTGTTGTAGTAGCTCCTTTCTTTGTATTGCTTAGTAGTATTCCATTGTATGAATATATCACAATTTTTTAATCCATTCTTCTATTGATGGACATTAGGGTTGTTTCCAGTTTTTGGCTGCTGTGAATTAGCTGCTGTGAATATTGGTGTATGAGTCTTTGTGCTGACACATATTTTTATTTCATAAATATGTAGGTGGAATTACTAAGTGGTATGGTAATTGAAGTTGCCAAACCCTTTTCCGAGGTAGTTATATAATTTTACATTTCTACAAGAAGTGTCTGAGCTTCCTACTTGTTCCACATCCTAAACATCTTATATTGATGGTCTTTTTAATATTTGATGTTTCAGTGAGTGTGTAGCAGTATCTCATTTTGGTTTTAATTTGCATTCTTATAATGACCAGAGATTCCAAGCATCTTTTCATTGCTTATTGGTCATTTGTGTATCTTCCTGTATGAAGTATGTTCACATCTTTTGCATATTTTTTGTTTGGTTTCTTGTTGAGTTTTGAGATTTCTTTATATATTCTGGATATAACTTTCATCAGATGTATGAATTACAAATATTTCTACCTTGGTCTCTGTCTTGCCTTTTTGTTTTCTTTCTTTTCTTTCCTTTTTTTTTTAAGTTTTTATTTTTAAGTAATCTCTACACCCAACGTGGGGCCCAGACTACAACCCTGAGATCAAGAGTTGCGTGCTCCATAGACTGAGGCAGCCAGGTGCCCTTGCCCTTTTGTTTTTTGTTAATGTGGCTTTTGAAGAACAGATGAGTTTAATTTTTATCAGTTCTAGTTTATCAAATTTTTTGGTTATTGCTATGATTTCTGTACCTATTCCAATTTTGGAAAGATTTTCTTCTCTCTTCTTCTCTTAAAGTTTCAGCATTTATATTTAAGCTTATGACCCATTTTAAGTTAATTTTTGTGTATGGTATGAGGTAAGGGTCAAGATTCATTCTTATTCCATATGTGTAGTCTGGTGTTCTAGTACTAATTTTTTGTAAATAATATTCTTTCTCCATTGCCTTACCTTGGCATCATGGAGGCTGTATTGTATTTCAGTGACTTATATGTCCTTCTTATGCCAATGCTGTATGGATTGTCTTGATTATTGTTAGTTTCATAGTAAATCTTAAAAAAAGTCTAAAACCCTCAACTGTATTCTATTTCAAATTGTTTTGGCTTCTCTAAGCCCTTCACATTTCCAGATATATTTTAGAACCCACTTAATCATTTTCTACAAAGATATCTACTGGGATTTTATTTGGTGTTGTATTGAATATATAGATCAGTGAGGGTCAAATTGGCCATCCTACTGTTACTGATTTTTCCAGTCTGTGAACATGATGTATCTCTCTATTTACTTAGGTTTTTAAAAAATTCTCCTGGCACTGTTTTTTGATTTTCATTGTATAGGGCATGTATACATTTTGTTAAATGTATTCTTAGGTATTACATGTTTTTTGGGTAATATGTTGTATTTAAAATCTCAGTTTCCATTTATTTGTTTCCAGTATATAGAAATGTAGTTGAATTTTGTTTATTGACCTTGCTAAATTTCCTTTTAGTTTTACTAGCCTTTTTCCCTGGTTGTTGTTCCTGGATTTCCTACACGTATGTTCATGTAGACTGTAAATTTTACTTCATTTCCAGTCTGTATGCCTCTTCCCTTTTTTGCATTATTGTACTGGGTAAGACCACCAGTATAAATAGTTAAATAGAAATGGTGAGAGTAGACATTTTTGCCTTGTTTCTGATTTCAGGTGTAAAGCGATCATACGTATTTTATAGATGCCTTTTATCAAGTTGAGTAGTTTCTATTTCTGGTTTCCAGAGAATTACTATTAGGTGGATATTGAATTATAAAATGTGTTTGGCTTTTTTACCAAGTCTGACAATCTTTCCTTTTAATTGGAGTGTTTACATAATTTACAATCAGTGTAAGTGTAGATACTGTGTGTCTTAATCTATCTTGTGATTTATGCTCTATTTCTTTCATCTGTTCTTTGATTCTTCCCTTTTTTTCCTGCTTTGATTTGAATTAACTGCATATTATTTAGTATTTCACTTTATTTCTATTATTGGTTTATTATTTTTTAAAGATTTTATTTATTGATTTGTGAGCGAGAAAGAGAGAGCATGCATAATCAGGGGGAGTGGCAGGCAGAGGGAGAAGCAGACTCCCCGCTGAACAGGGAGCCTGTTGCAGGACTTGATCCCAGGACTCTGGGATCATGACCTGAGCTGAAGGCAGATGCTTAACTGACTGAGCCACCCAGGTGTCCCTATTATTATTATTATTATTATTATTATTATTATTAAATATTTTATTTATTTATTTGAGAGATTGAGTGTGCACACAAATGGGGGAGAAGGGCAGAGGAGAAGGAGAAGCAGGGATCATGACCTGAGCCAGAGACAGACACTTAACTGAGTCACCTGGGCATGCCTGGTTTATTATTTTTTTTGACATTAACTTATTATAGTCTACCAACAAATGATATTGTATAGTGTAAGCACCTTCCCACATAATCCTGCAGTTCCTTCTCCTGTCCTTTATTTTTTATAAGTTTTACTTTTTTATGTACTATAGTTCCTGTGATAACATTTTTTTGATTCATTCACTTTTTTTTTTCTTTTTTTTTAAAGATTTTATTTATTTATTTGAGAGAGAGAGAGAGAGAGAATGAGAGAGAGAACACAAGAGGGGGGAGGGTCAGAGGGAGAAGCAGACTCCCTGGTGAGCAGGGAGCCCGATGTGGGGCTTGATCCCGGGACTCCAGGATCATGACCTGGGCCGAAGGCAGTCGCTTAACCAACTGAGCCACCCAGGCGCCTCTGATTCATTCACTTTCATTTTGTATTTTAAAGGCATTAGAAATGATCAAGATCATGTTTTTTGTATTTACCTCTGTATTTACCGTTTCTAGGGCACTTCACTTTGTGTAGATTCATGTTTCTATCTCATATCATTTTTTTTCCATTTGAATATTTCTTTTTAATTTATCAATTTTTATTTAAATTCAATTAAGGTAATATAGTATTGGTTTCAGAGGTAGAGGTCAGTAATTGATCAGTCTTATATAATACCCAGTGCTCATTACATCTCGTGCCCTCTGTAGTCCATCACCCAGTTACCCCATCCCGTCACCCCGTTCCCCTCCAGTAACCCTCAGTTTGTTTCCTATGATTAAGAGTCTCTTATGGTTTGTCTCCCTCTCTGATTTCATCTTGTTTTATTTTTCCCTCCCTTCCCCTATGATCTCTGTTTTGCTTCTTAAATTCCACATATGAGTGAGATCATACGATAATTGTCTTTATCTGGATGCCTTTTATTTCTTTGCCTAATAGCCCTGGCTAGAACCTATACCATTGGAGCCCTGTCTCATCTGGCTCCCTGCTCAGTATAGGCAGTCTGCTTCTCTCTCTCTCTTTCAAATAAATAAATGAAATGTTAAAAATAATGTGAATTGAGAAATTGATGATCATAGAATCACTTCTTGCTTTATTACTGTTGAAATCTGTTGTGTAATATCCATGTTTTAGAGAATTCCTCAACGTTAAGATAGCAGGGATATGGGAAACCAGCAATCTCAGAGTGACCTTTTAAGCAGTGCAATTAAGTACTTTAAGGATTAAAAAATATATATTTCAAAAGAAATGAAGGGTTAAATGCTTCTTTCATATGTTTTTAGTGTTTGATGAAGCACCATGTTGCTTTAAGTACTTTGAAAGGATATTGTTTTTATTTTAATTAATCGCATCATGTAGTATTTACACAAGAATATTATTCCAATAAAGTCAGCAGCAATTCCTGAAATGTGTCAGATTCTTAGTTTTAGTTTTGTTTAGATTTAGTTTAGTTGAGATTTGTTAGTGGGGGTGATTTATTTCTAAATTCCACTCAAAATAGAAAAAATGTTCCACTATTTCTTTTAAAAAATGTACCTGCTAATGTTGAGGTACTATACTTTGAATAGTAGCAGAGACTAAATATTTTTTTAATTGAACTAGATTCTGATCTTTACCTTGTCACAAATTATCTTTGTGGACCCAAAGAAGTCAGTTAATTTCTTTGGACTTTCTCAGTTTCTGCCCTTTGCAAAATGGATTATATAATCTCCCAGATCATATAGCTATATATTGTAAGTTGGTAAATAGGTTAGCTTTTATACGTTGCCCAAAGGACATTTCCTATCAAAAGCATTTATTAACTTGTTTAAAAACATTTATTTCAGTTATGCTAACATTTCCATTATAATTAGTTTTCATTAAATTAAACAAAGCGTATTAAATCAGTGCTTACAAATTTTTTAAGTTTATATAGGAGGCAGAAATTTAGAAAAATGATATATTAAAGCTTTTTAAATGTTTCATTTGGAATCAGATAGGTAAAGGCAGTCTTATCCTGTTTTACATTTTATTTTTTTATAGTATTGAGGCAGAATTCACAAGTTGAATCCAACACGTCTTTGTTGGAAAAGACATTCCATTTAGCTTTAAGTGGTTGCAGTTAAATTAAAGAAAAAAATCCTTGTCTGTGATTACTTAGAAGTATGGTTTAAAAGATAAAATACGAGCTCTCTGGTAAAGGTAAATATGTAGGCAAATAAAGAATCCTGTAATATTGTGATGTTATTGCATAAATCACTTTTAATTCTGGTATGGAATTTAAAAGACAAAAGCATAGAACATCTAAATCTATATACGCAATATAAAAAGATGTAATTTTTGATATAAGTAACATAAACAGAGATGTAAATGAGTAAAGGTTTTGTATGTGTTTGAACTTAAGTTATTGGCTTAAAATAGAGTATTAAAACTTTAAGATGTTTTATGTAATTCCCATGGATACTACAAAGAAAATAACCTATAGAACTTTATACAAAACAAAAGGAGAAAGGGATATAAGTACGAAAAATCATTGGCATGTAAAAGATAGTCAATTAACAAATTACAGTGAACAAAATGACAGTAGTCTTTAAATGTAAATGGATTAAACTTCCCACTTAAAAGAAATAGATTGGCTAAATGGATTTAATAAAACAGAATCCAACGTATTTTGTCTACAGGAGAGGCACTGTAGATCAAAGGACATATATAGGCTGAATATGAAAGGATGGAAAAAGATAGTTCATGCAAATGGTAACCAAAAGGGTGCAGGGGTGGCCATACCTATATCCGGAAAAATAGACTTTAAGTCAAAAACTGTTAGAAGAGTCAAAGAGGGAAATTATAACGATAGAAGTGTCAATTCACCAGGAAGATCTAACAATTAAAAATACATACAGCTGGGGCGCCTGGGTGGCTCAGTCATTAAGCGTCTGCCTTCGGCTCAGGTCATGATCCCAGGGTCCTGGGATCAAGCCCTGCAACGGGCTCCCTGCTCTGCGGGAAGCCTCCTTCTCCCTCTCCTACTCCCCCTGCTTGTGTTCCCTCTCTAGCTGTGTCTCTCTCTGTCAAATAAATAAATAAAATCTTAAAAAAAAACAATACATACAGCTAACTTCTGGGCTCCAAAGTATATGAAGCAAACACTGACAGAGTTGAAAGGAGAAGTATATAGTAACTCAATAATGGTAGGCTATTTCAAAACCATTTCAGTAATGGATATAAGAACCAGAGAGAAGATCCCTAAGGAAACAGGGACCATGAACAGCAATGTAGACCAATTGGACCTAATAGATACATACAGAACACCCCACTAAACAATGATAGACAATACATTCTTATCAAGCTCATATGGAGCATTCTTCAGGATAGACAACATGTTAGCCCACATAATTAACAAATTTAAGAAAACTGAAATCACACCAAATATCTTTTCTTACCACAAGAGAATGAAATCAATAGCAGAAGAAATCTGGAACATACACAAATTTGTGGAAATGAAACAACAAACTCTTATACAACTAGTGGGTCAAAGAAATCACCAGGAAATTTCTTGGGGCAAGTGAAAACAAAACAACATCAAAGCTTATGGGATTTAGTGAAAACAATACTAAGAGGAATGTTTATAGTGGCAAACACCTACTTAAAAAAAAGAAAGATCTGAAATCCACTAACCTAATTTTTCCCTTCAAGGAACTAGAAAAAGAAGAGCAAACTAAACCCAGCTTTGTAAGTGATAAAGATTTAGAGCAGAAAATAAATGAAATAGAGACTAGAACAATAGAACACTCACAAGTTCTTAGCCAGATTATGAAAAAAGAGAAGACTCATTAACTAAAAGAAATGAAAGAGGAGGCATTACTACTAATGCCATGAATATAAAAAGAATTATGAGACTACTATGAACAATTTTATGTCAGCAAATTGAATAACCTAGAAGAAATGGATATTCCCAGAAACACAGAATCTACCAAGACTGAAGAAATAAAAACAAATCTGAGCAGACTACAGCTACTAAGGAAATTGAATCAGTAATCAAAAACCTCGGAATAAGAAAAAGCTGAGTACTACATATGGCTTCCCTAGAGAATTCAAACATTAAAGAATTAACACCACTCCTCATTCTTTCAAAAAGTGAAGAGGAGGGAACACTTCCAAGCTCATTTTAGGAGACCAGCATTACCTTGATACCACAGCCAAAGGCACTACAAGGAAAGAAAACTACAGACCAATATCCCTGATTAATACCCATGCAGAAATCCTCAAAACAATACTAGCAAATCAAATTCAAGAGCTCACAAAAGGATCATACTCTCTGACCAACAGGGATTTAGTCCTGGAATGGAGGGATGGTTCAACATATGAAAGTCAATCATTGTAATATACATGTTAACAGAGTAAAGGACAGAAACCACACAATCATCTCAGTTGATGCAGAAAAACGGATGAAATTCAACATTCTTTCATAATAAAAACACTCAACAAATTACAAGTAAAGGAAACTACTTCAAAATAATAAGGCTATATATGAAAAGCCCACAGCTGACATTAGATGCAGTAGTGAAAGACAAAGCTTTTCCTTTAAGATCAGGAACAAGGCCAAGGATTCCCATTGTCAGCATTTCTGTAGGACATAGTACCAGCTGTCTTATCCAGAGCAGGTAGTCAAGAATAGTAAAGAAAAGGCATCCTAATTGGAAGGGATGAAGTAAAATTTTATCTGTTCACAGATGATGTGATCTTACATGTAGAAAAACTCTAAATATTTCACAAAATGTTAGAACTGATAAAATCAGCAAGCTTGCAGACAGATTTGTCTTCCAACTTAAAATCTTTTGCATGTCAAAACTTTTGTGTATCAAGGAATTGAGTGAATAGGCAATTTATGAAATGGGAGAAAATACTACAAACCATATATTTGATAAAGGGTTTATATCTGGAATATATAATGAACTCCTACAACTCTACAAGAAAAATATGCAAATAATCCAATTAAAAAGTGGTCAAAGGACTGGGATAGACTTTCTCCAAAGAAGATAATCAGATTGCGAACAAACATGAAAATATGTTCGGCATCACTAATCATCAGAGAAATGCAAATCAGAAACACAGTAGATATCACCTCATATACCATTAGGATGGCTATTTTAAAAAATGAAACAAAATAACAAGTGTTGGCTAGGGTATGGTGGTTCTTTAAGACATCAAAAATAGAATTATCATGCGATTGAGCATTTTCACTTATGTGTATAAATGGAAAAGAATTAAAAGCAGGATCTGAAAGAGATATTTTCATACTCAAGTTTATTATAACATTATTCATGATAGCCAAGACAGCCTCATTGTCCATGGACAAATGAATAGATAAAATGTGGTATATTATGTACAATGGAATACTATTCAGCTTTAAAAAGAAGGAAATTCTGACATGCTGCAACATGGTGAGTCTTGAGGACATTATGTTAAATGAAATAAGCAAATAAAAAATATGCTAGGATTCCAATTATATGAATTATAAAAAAAATAGTCACACTCATAGAATCAGAAAGAATGGTGGTTGCCAGGGGATGGGGAGAGGTAGAAATGAGATGTTGTTCAATAAATACTGAATTTCAGTTTTGCATGGTGTACAAGTTCTAGAGATCTGTTGTACAGCAATATGCATATAGTTAATACTACTGTACTGTGAACTTATAAATGTTTAAAATGGCAAATTTTATGTAACATGTTAAGCACAATTAAAAAAATCCAGAAAGAAAAAAATACAGTGAAAAAAATGATAAAGTACCTGCTGTAGGGTACTAAGTTTTACATTTTTTTAATGTAAGGTTTTAATACCAAGTTGAGTTCATTTCTGTTATTCTTTAAAGTGAACACAGTGCACTTTAGAAGTAATTTAAACAAACAGGGCTCTTTTTATTTGATATTGTTAGGAAAATGATCAAAGGTGTGTACCTTAAATTTTTATATCTGGTGATTTGTATCTAGATTTTCTTTTTGTGGTATACTCTCTTAACTGTTCTACTTTTTATTTTTAGGGTACATTTAAATTCAAAGCAGAAAGTGATCTGTTTCTTGCTGAGCATCACAAACTTTTATTGTATGATGGCAAACTCTCTAGTGCCATTGCATTCACTTACAATCCACGTGCTACAGATGCCCAGCTCTGCCTTGAATCATCCCCTAAGGACAATCCTTCAATTTTTGTCCATTCACCACATGCACTTATGCTCCAGGTACTCGCTATCTATAACCTTTTTTTTTTTTAAGCTATAATCTTTTAAGAATATTTTTCATGGTGAATTTTGATGCGTTACTGAGGTGTATTAGGTATTTTCTATTAAATACACGCAATGTAACATGTTGTTCTTATTATGCTTTATTTTAATTATTTTGGAAAAGAAATCATTAGAGTCTTTACTGTGAATTCTATTTTATAAGGATGTGAAGGCAGTTTTAACACATTCCATTCAAAGTGCTATGCATTCAATTGGAGGAGTACAAGTGCTGTTTCCACTTTTTGCACAGTTGGATTATAGACAATATTTATCTGATGAGGTTGACTTGACTATATGGTGAGTGCCTTTATTCTTTTCTTTAATTTGATGTGAGAGTTACTTTCATTACTGTTGAGCTACACAGTATTTTTTTCTGCCTTTTAAATTTATTGTAAGATTAAAAGAGAATATAATTTAAAGACATTTGTGAACTTATAAATGTTACTACAAGTTCCTATCAATAATGGTAGTATTAATCTAAATTCTTTATCAATAGGAAATATGGAAGTGTAAAATACATAATAAACTTGTTTTTGAGTAAATTTGGAAATAATAATGATTTAAAAAAATGAATACATTTTTGTCATTCTAATTTAAAAAGATAAGTTATTTTAGATTATTACATGGCAATGATTTATTATGGGGATTTAGCTTTTCATTTTTAATTATTGTATATAACTAAAAACTAAAATTTTTGATGATGTTATTTATATTATAGGTGATTTGGTATTTTTTTTTTACAATTAGATTGTACATTGGGCACATTTGTGTCTCCTCTCTTACAGTATAGATTCTGAAAAAGGCAGAGACATAAGAGGACACAATATAAAACATTGGAGAGTTGTCTAAATGAATTTTTCATGGCTGTATTCTAGTGAGACTAGTAATTATGTTTAATGTATTATTTGAGTAAATGAGTTTTCCATTCTTCCTTTTTAGAATTCTCTTTTCTGCTTTTATACATAAGTTGAAATCTATCAATGTATGTATTTAATGATGTAATAATTCTTTTGGAATTATTTTTAGGCAACAAAATGACTTTTTAAACTTTTTTTTGTATTTTTAAGTAATCTCTTCACCCACCTTGGGGCTCAAACTCAAAACCCCAAGATCAAGAGTCACACACTCCACTGGCTGAGCCAGCCAGGCACCCCATCTTTTTCTTTTCCTAAGGAATGAGCTATCAAATCAAGTACTTACGACATTTAAAAAAATTAAAATTATCTTTGACATATTGCTACTTTGTAAATTTTTTTGTGTGTCCTGGTTTGAAACCTTTGTAACAGCTGTTGTTTTTTCTTGGTTATCCCTTTTTTTTTTTTTTTTTAAAACTTTTCAAAATCTTTATTGGAATTGCTGACATTTTAAAAGCACTTTCGTGGAGGAGGTTGGCTGCCAGTTAGCCTCTCTTTCTTTGTGGAGGTATCTCAGAGCCTTGAGAAGGAGCTAACAGCTGACCTTATTCCATTCCATTTTCAGTATCTCTAGAAGTTGTGAGGATGGGAACATGACTGTAGCCCCTATTCAGTTTTAAAAGTCTTCTCAATTGACTCCTGAGTTATGGTTTTCCTGTTGGGATAAGGCACAAAATTCTTAAATTAGTGTTTGAGGACTTAAGTTTAGTACAGTTTTACTTTCTTATTTTCCCCTTCATGATCTCCGTTCAAACCAGGCCAGTCTGGGCCCTAACACATTCTGAGTGTTTCTACCCTGGTATGTTTGCTCTGTGTATCTTTCCCCTCTGTTTGGCCTCTAACTCTCTGAAATTGAATATACTTGCTAATCTAAATTATATATATTCTTTAAGGACTTCATATACTTATGTTAGCTGTTTTATTGTTTTTGGACATTGCTAATTTTTCTCTAGTTCATACATGTTTCCAAGTAATTCACTTACTAGTAGGTTGGTGATAAAGTATATGGAATAAACAATTAAGTCCTAATCTTACATTCAAATTCTAGTCCCGAAATAATGTTGGAGGCAATTTTATTAAAACTTCAATTTCCTTGAAATAGAGAACTTTTTTTTTTTTTAGATTTTATTTATCTATTTGAGAGAGAGAGAGAGAGCACAAGAAGCAGACTCCCTGCTAAGCAGGGAGCCCGATGCGGGACTTGATTCTAGGACTCCAGGATCATGACCTGAGCCAAGGGTAGTCCTTTAACCAACTGAACCACTCAGGCGTTTTTTTTTTTTTTTTTTTTTTAAGATAAAAGAAAGGCTGTATCTAACAACCCCCCCACCTTAAAAAAAAAGTATTTTTTTTGGACTGTTGCCTGTTTTCTTATTCTAGTTCAACTTTGCTGGCTTTTATCATGGAGTTGTTGAAGAACTCAATTGCTATGCAGGAGCAGATGCTTGCCTGCAAGGGCTTCTTGGTAATAGGATACAGTCTTGAAAAGGTAAAGTATGAAATGCTTTACATTTTTTGTTCTTAATTTTCAGGCCATGGATTTGATCTCCCAAGTGGTTAAGAAATTCTTTCTGCAAGTATGTCTCCTTGGTTACATAAAATTACCAAAATTAAAATAACCTTTTGTTGTTTTACCTTGCCTCTGTTGCTTTATTGGAGAAATGTAGCATTGAGTCTCATGGCATCTTTAACTTTGAGCATAGTTTGTCGGCCAACTTTTTTCTGGTATTGATAGCCTTTAATTTACTTACGTTGCCTTGTATTGGTAGTGACCTTTTTTTTTTTTTAATTTTTTTAATGGGAAGGGAGGGAGTGGGGGTGGAGAAGAAGAGAGAAAGAGAGAATTTTAAGCAGTCTCCACACCCAGTGCAGAGCCGGACACAGGGCTTGATCTCACAACCCTGAGATCATGACATGCATGGAAATAGTCAGTTGCTTAACTGACTGAGCCATCCAGTGGCCCTGGTAGTGACCTTTGATCTACTTTTTTTTTTTTTTTGCAGTCTTCCAAATCCCATGTCAGCAGAGCAGTACTTGAACTTTGTCTTGCATTTTCAAAATATCTGAGTAATCTGCAGAATGGGATGCCCCTACTCAAACAGTTGTGTGATCACATTCTTCTTAACCCAGCTATATGGATTCATACCCCAGCCAAGGTAATATATATAAATATATATATATATAGAGAGAGAGATTTTGTTTTTCTATTCTCACCAAGTTTTTGTAGTTGAGAAGAGTGATAATTATGAGGATTTTCTTTTATCCTTTCACATGCTATCATGTAAAATTTCAGTGGATTGTGTTTTTTGATAAGCATACTTTTTTCTTTTTAGGTATATTTGCAAATCAGTGTATCTTTTCTTTCTTTTTTTATAGAACAGTATGCTTTTTTTAAAATTTTAATTCCAGTATGGTTAAAGTACAGTGTTATATTAGTTTCAGGTATACAATATAGTGATTCAACAATTCTGTACATTACCCAGTGCTTATGACAAGTGCACTCCTTAATCCCCATCACCTATTTCACACATCCCCTAACCCACCTCCCCTCTGGTAACCATCAGTTTGTTCTCTAGTTAAGATCTGTTGCTTGGTTTCTCTCTCTCTCTCTTTTTTCCCTTTTCTTGTGTTTTCTTTCTTAAATTCCATAGGAGTGAAATCCTATGGTATTTGTCTTTCTCTGACATATTTCAGTTAGCATTATACTCTCTAGCTCCATCCATGTCGTTGCAAATGGCAAGATTTCATTCTTTTTTATGGCTGAATAATATTCCATTATATAGATACACCACATCTTCTTTATTCATTCATCTGTCAGTGGACACTTAGGCTGCTTCCATAATTTAAGTCTTGTAAAATAATGCTTATATAAACATAGATAGGGTACATATATCCCTTTGAATTAGTGTTTTTGTATTTTTTGGGTAAATATTTGTAGATTACTGGATTGTAGGATTCTATTTTTAAGTTTTTGAGGAACCTCTGTAGTGTTTTCCACAGTGGCTGCAGTAGTTTGCATTCCCTCTAACAGTGCAAGAGTGTTCTTTTTTCTCCACATCCTTGCCAACACTTGCTTCTTGTGTTGTTGATTTTAGCCATTTTGACAGGTGTGAGGTGATAACTCACTGAGTTTTGATTTGCAATTCCCTGATGTTGAGTGATGTTGAGCATCTTTTCATGTGTCTTTTGGCCATCTGAATGTCTTCTTTGGAGAAACGTCTTTTTTTAATTTTAATTGGATTGCTTTTTTGGGGGGGATATTGTGTAAGTTCTTTATGTATTTTGGATACTAACCCTTTATCAGATAGGTCATTTGCAGATATCTTTTCCCATTCAGTAGGTTGCCTTTAGTTTGTTGATTGTTTCCTTTGCTGTGCATAAGCTTTTTATTTTGATGTAATCCCAGTAGTTTAGTTTTGCTTTTGTTTCCCTTGCCTCGGGAGACATATCTAGAAAAATGTTGCTATGGCTGATGTCAGAGAAATTATTGCCTGTGCTCTCTTCTAGGATTTTTATGATCTCAGGCCTTACATTTAGTTCTTTAATCCATTTTGAGTTTATTTTTGTGTATGGTGTAGGAAAGTGGTCCAGTTTCATTCTTTTGCATGCTGCTGTCCAGTATTCCCAGCACCATTTGTTGAAGAGACTGTGTTTTTCCCATTGGATATTCTTTCCAAGCCATGTCAGTATTTTTAAAAAACAGAGCTATAGTCTTTCTTTTCTATTAAATCAAAATTTTATTTGAGAGAGACTTTGATTTACTAAGTATAAATAAAAGTTGGACAGTTCCAATATAAATATGTTTCCTATCAATTCTACCTCTATTCTGTTGCCAGTATGCATACATATCACTGTGTACACATGTATGTATACATATACATGAGTTTAATTGTGCAGGAACAGTTGAAATGTCACCTGGTTTTAAGGCTTGCATGATATACTGGTCTCAATCATTTTAATTCACATGAATTTAAATTATTAAATACAGTTATATTTGTACATGACTTGTTTAGTACTGTAACGATAAACCAATTACTTCTAAGTGAATATAAGTGAATTTGTGATAAAGTATATAAATAAAACCTTTGTTAAGTCCTAATGTATTAAATTGCCCTAAGAATATTAATTATGGTAGTGTTCAGGAGAACTTGAAACAGAAATTTTTATTAAATTGCATAATTGTATCTGCCTTATCTGCAGTTTTTGTTAGAAGTTGTATTATTTCATACCTATTAATTTCTTCTTTCCCCTTCTCCCTTTTGATCCATGTAGAATGTTTATCATTGTTTAGGTTGGAATGACACATACTTATTTTAGTTGTCAGAAAAAAATGCGGACTTTCTTTGCTTTTCTAGAGTCATAGTATCTTATTTTCAGTTGGTCTTTTCAAATGTTAAAGAGAAAAACAGCTGCTGACTCTGATTGCCATTTGGAAATAATCAAAGGAGGCAGCTGGAGGTTGTACCTTTTTATCTCTGGGTTCAAATATGACCTCTTTTTCTTCTATGACCCTCAGTCTTAATTCTTTTCAAGGATTGTTTCAAGTTACTTTTTAAACCTTTTACTAGACACTTTTTTTTCTCTTACTAAGCAGCATATTTGTAAGGCTTTGGATTTCTTTTGATGTGGTCTAAAAGCCTCTTATTAGATACTTAGTTGTAGAGGAATATTTTAAAAATTCATTATATCATTTTCTTAGGCTCCCGGTATTACTACACTCTATTTCTTACCTTTTCCTTGTTAATAATTTTCTTTAATTTTGTTTTTAGAATTTATAATTGATACGTTATGGTTAAACTTTCCTTGTTTTAAAAACGCTGTTTTGTGTGTCCATTAAGGGGTTATATCTACTTTAATTGTATTATAAAGGTAGTCCTAAGGTGGTTTGTTTTCTGAAGTTTGTTTGATCTGAGTGTTATACAATTACAGGGAGGGAGGAAATTTTTAAGAAAAGAAATACAACATGATGCATACAAAATGAGGTTTAGGGTTTTGCAGGGAACCTGTATAGATAGCATAAAGTTTAAGCTTCATTAGCTTCATGGTAATTCCACCTGTGGTTACCAAAGTTGAAGATATGTATGAATCAACCTTTGCTTTTGGAAAAGGGTGTTTACTGTGCTGTGTAATATCTATTCATTTTCTCAGAGACTGTCTTTTTAATGACCTAAAAGGAGAGGCGAAATTTCTTGTATAAAATAGTCCTCAATTTGTTGAGTAACTAACTGCTTTATGATGGGCACTGTGGATGCTGTGGTGAACAAGACAGATCTAATTCTTGCCCTTATAGAATGTCCAGTGGGAAAGATGGATATTAACACATACAGTTTGTATGGTTTTGGATTATATAATGAGTAAATGAGGAAGTGTTTATTCATTGTTAGCATATGAATAATCTTGAGGTCACCATTCTCACTCATCTCAGTATGTTGATATTAAAGCCTTTTCGTTTTTCTTTTACTACAGTATCATTCTCAATAGACTGACCCAGAGCAGAGGTTCTCAATCTTGGCTGTCAATAGAACCTGTTGGGAGAGGTTTTTTTTTTTTTTTAAATAGGAAACAGAATTCCACACCCTCTACTCCACATTGTGTTTTATTTGGTTTGGGGTAGGGCCCAGGCATCAGCATTTTTAAAACATGTTTTTCCAGTATTCTAATGCACAATCAGGATTGTGGACCATTTCACAAGATCTTGGGAAACCTGTTGTTGTGTGATCTACCATTTTCCCTGTTTGAATTTCTACTTTTGTTCTACCTATCTTACTACTAATCTGCAAAGCCTACTTTAATACTTGTTTTATTAGTCAGGCTTTTTTGAGTATTTTAGCTTATCCTATAATAATTTCTCTGATCTCCAAATTGATAGATTCTAATAAGTCTTTGCTACTCATTTTGCAATTAATTACATATTTTGCAATTAGCTACATGGAATTAATTACATACATAGTTATGTTTCTTTCTTTTTTTTTTTAAGTGATCTCTACACCCAGTGGTGGGGCTCGAACTTACAACCCCAAGATCAAGAGTTGTATGCTCTACCAACTGAGGCAGCCAGGTGTCCCTTTATAAATGTGTTAATTCTAGACTTTTTAAAAAAATATTTTATTTATTTATGAGAGAGAGAGAGCACAAGTGATGGGGGCAGGAGGAAAGGCAGAGGGAGAGGGAGAAGCAGCCTCCCTTGTTGGGGCAGGGCTCAGTCCCAGGACCCTTGTATCATGACCTAAGCTGAAGGCAGACGTTTAACTGACTGAGCCACCCAGGCGTCCCAATTCTAGACACTTTTTAAAAGAATCTCCTTAAGTAATCTTTATGTTTCAATAGGCATCTTTATTACATTGGTTTTTTTTACTTAAATTTATGTGTTTTTTTCATCTTTTCAACTGGATTTCAGCTGTTGAGGGATAATGTATATATCATTGTATTTCCATAATACATCACTTTGCATAGGTGGATGTAAATATTTTCTAAATGACTGAAATAGCATGGTTAAGAATTTGAACCATGTCAAAAAAGTGTTATATAGCCCCAGTGACAAGTAAACTGGGCCTAGCCATTTGAATAATTGAATAATATTAGCTGCATCAACATTATTTTTCAGTGAGACAGTGGGATAGTCCACATATATAGTTTTCTAAACTATAATCATCATAAAATTGAACCTCGATTTTAAGTGGTTCAGAATCCGCCACTCTTCACCATTATGGTTACTAATTGTTTCCCTGATTCATTTAACCTTGATTGTTTATTTATAGGGCATCTGGAAGATAGGTACCTAATTTTTGCACTCTAAAGAAATTACCAGGTAACACTGACATATGTTGCAGGGTTGAAAGTGAAAATGCTGTCAGTGTCTAGGAAGATAGCATAAATGTTCTGTTTTAAATGATTGGGAATAGTTTGGTCTTTGGTTAACGGCGAGTATATATGTTCTACTTAAAATTGTTCCCCTTATAAAGTATATCTACTAGCAATGAATTGAAAAATTTTGATTTTAACACAAAAGTAGAACAAAAGCAATCCTTATTTTATGCTGTTGGAAGTACTAGATTGTAGCTGTTAGTGAGTTTTAGAGCTGTAATTTCACTGAAATTTTGTACTAATATGAAATGTGTGGTGGTAGAGTAGTACCTATAATCTTTTGTTTCTTTTAAGAGCTTATATTTTGAAGTTACTAAGTTCTTATGTGTTTATTGAAATAATTTATTTGGAAATAAGACTAATAGAATCCTTTTCTTTTTTTTAAAGATTTTATTTGTCAGAGAGAGAGTGCATGTGAGAGAGCACGTACACAGGCAGGGGGAGTGGTAGGCAGAGGGAGAAGCAGGCTCCCTGCCAAGCAAGGGGCCCAGTGAGGGACTCGATCCCTCATGACCTGAGCTGAAGGCAGATGCCTAACCAACTGAGCCACCCAGGTGTCCCAGTAGAATCCTTTTCTAATTAGAGGATAATACTGATAAACATGTTGAGAGATTGTAATCTTATGATTATAATCTTTCTGTCAATGAGCTATTATAACAGAATTCTGTTTTTCTAATATTTCTTAAGGTAGGCTTTACACTTGTTTTTTCCTTTTGACTTTTACTGTTTTCCCTTTCGAGTTATTCCTATTTTTTCTTTCTTTTTTCTTTTTTTGTTTTAGCTTCTACTTTTCGGCAAAATGAAGAAAATTTCCAGCTTTTTAAAGCAACTATGCATAGTATAATTAGTAAGCTTACTGTAAAGAAGTTATATATGCTCATGAATAATTGCTGATTGCTTAATAGGAATTAAACAGTTATTTCCATGGAACAGTGCTGTAAAAATTTTATATATTACGGGATGTTTCCTTTATAATGTTACTGTAAAAGTAGCATTTACTTGGTTTAGTTTTATAAGTAATGTGTGTGCTTTTCTGTGTGTGTGTGTGTGTGTGTGCGTGCGCACATGCCAGTATGTGTTATCTGTTAGCATGGATGTTACCATCAAGCTCAGCATCTTACTTTTTTTTTAAAAGATTTTATTTATTTATTTGAGAGAGAGAGAGAGAATGAGAGAGAGCAAGAGAGCACATGAGAGTGGGGAGAGTCAGAGGGAGAAGCACACTCCCTGTAGAGCAGGGAGCCTGATGTGGCACTCGATCCTGGTACTCCAGGATCATGACCTGAGCCGAAGGCAGTCGCTTAACCAACTGAGCCACCCAGGTGCCCAGTATCTTACTTTTTGGAACAAGTATGATCCAAGTAAAACAGCCTGAGAGTATTACTGGAACCAGGGGTAAAATGCTATGCTGCTTCTTTGATGTAGTTCTTCATTTTGATTCTCTAGGTTCAGTTGACACTCTATACTTACCTATCCACGGAATTCGTTGGTACAGTCAACATATATAATGCCATTCGGAGAGTTGGAACAGTGCTTCTTATCATGCATACACTGAAGTATTACTACTGGGCAGTGAATCCTCAGGATCGAAGTGGTATCACCCCTAAAGGATTAGGTATGTTATCCCTGTTTATATATTTTGTCATAGATTTTTTATTTTCTTTGTTTTAACCAATAATATATTCTTCTTGAAGTTTTTCTGAATATCATCATGGCAAAATTTTATTTTAATCTTATTGATAATTTTAATAGTTTGTCTTGAATTGAGGTTGCCAGAAGTTAATCACTTGCTACTTTTATGGAAGAATGCTACTTCTGCTGGTATAAGTTGTTTGCAGAGCAAATATGGTATGATTAAGGCACTGAAAATGAGAAGTTCTATATTAGCATAGGGTTGATCCTGAAGCTAATTATCATAATGAGAATTATTGAAAAACCATGTTTTTTGGGAAATAGAGATTTCTTGAGGAAGTAGGGGGTGTATTTACTTCTAATAAATAATATAATGAAGTTACAAAATTTCAGTAATTATTTTCCTGTATAATCAGGAAATTACTGGAGAGATGATATTCATTCATCATGTCAAATTTATGGAAGGTATCAAAATAAAAATTATGACAAATGGTGGGTCTTTTGGTTTAAGTGTAACCTGCTTCAAATCGGCTATTGTTGTAAAAGGGAGTTAATCAGCTCATATAAACTGGCATTTTCAGTTGAACTTAGTGCAAGGGTTCAGAATATGCCCCTTGAACCCAGTTTGTCTCTCTCCATTTCCCAGTTCTTCTGTGTTGGCTCTTTTCATGTATTCTCTCCCTTGTAGTACCAAGCAGCCACCCTACCTTCACATCCTTAAAACTGTAAGTCTAACAGAAGAGTGTCTGCCTGTATCGAACATTTCCAGCTAAAGTCTCTTTGTTGCTCATTGGCTCTGATTGCATCATGTGCACAGTCTTATGTGGCAGATATTTTTCTGATTGCCCATACATGGGCATGGAAGACCTTCGCACTTCGGAAATACATGGTGTGAGAGTGAGGATGGGCTCAGTACCTTGATAAAAATCGAAGGCTGCTATTTGAAATCAGGAAATAGATGCTGGAGAGTCATTGTATTTAAATGCTTTGGCTGCTCGGTGATTTACCAACAAGTTTCATATTAATACAGTGTTTCTTTATCCCTTTCAAAATCTGCTTATTCTCAGAGAATATGCTATGTATAATTTAGAAAGATATGAGCACACACAGAAGTTGTATGATCTGTTTAAGGTGGTAGTTTTGTGGCAGAGAACTAGGTCATAATTTCCTCATGACTATTTGATGGTACTATAGCTGTATCATGTACTGTCCTGGGTATTAGTTTTGTATTCTGGCATTGATTTTATAACTGATTAGTGACCTTGGGAAAGTCTCATACTTGAAGTGAGAGAGCTGGACAAAGTTTGTGATTCTATTGTAACTCTGTAACTGATTCTTTGTCTAGGAATTGTCATGTGGAACAAATTTTAAGCAATTTTCTTCCTATTTTAATTGATCTATTTAAGGTCATGGTGGTCTTGTGCTTTGGTGGTCTAAGAACTAGCTATAAATAGTGATTAGTGTAGGGAAAATTGCAGAAAATATGAAGCAAACAGGTACCTAACTTCAGGATCTTATAACAATGGGTGTTTGGTTTCAAAAGCTTTCTACTTGGGGATTATTTTTTGAGACATGAAAATTGTCTTTAATGTGAGCCATGTGTGACCAGGGACTTTTTTAAGAAGGGGAGGAGATGGCAGAGGTAGTCAACATAATGTTTCCTTTCTAAATGAATCAAATGATGTTCAGGTGTACTTTAAAAAATTTTTTTATTAGCTCATACAAGAGTAATGGAAGCTTTTTTTTTTTTTTACCTAAATTCACATTTAAGTTTGGATTTTCCTTTGTAAACTATTACTGTACTAACATTCTCAGAGTCTTTCAAAACAAAATATAAGTGCATATTATTACTGAATAGAAATTTTATTACCTCATTTTCATATTTTGGACTTCATCTAACCTTAATCAAAAATAAATTCTTTCATTGTAGTTTCAAAGTAACCCATTTTGTACATTTGGAACACTGTGTATACTATTGTATGTGAGACTGAATGTCTTTCTAGAGGCATAAAACTCTTTTAAATTGAAGAATAATTGACAAACAGTTATTAGTATCAACATAGTGATTTGATATTTAGATAGATTATGAAATGGTCACCTCAATAAGTCCCCTAGTTACCATCTGTCAACATGCAAAATTGTTGCAATATTATTGACTATATATTCCTTACATTGTACATTAAATCCCTGTGACTTATTATTTTATAATGGGAAAATATTACCTCTTGACCTCTTCACCTATTTTGTGCATCTTCCCATTTTCTTCCTTCCTCCCCTCTGGCAACTGTCCATTTGTTTTCTGTATCTTTGAATCTGTTTCTCTTTTGCTTTGTTTGTTTTGTTTTTCACATTCCACAAACAAGTGAAATCATACACTATTTGTCTTTTGCTGACCTCACTTAGCATTATACTCTTTAGGCCCATCCATGTTGTCACAGTGAGAAGTTTTCACTCTTTTTTTTATGGCTGAATAATATTCCTGTGTGCGTTTGTGTGTGTGTGTGTGTGTGTGTGTGTGTGTGTGTGTGTGTACACATACATATACCACATCTTTATCCATTTATCTGTCGATAGACATTTAGGTTACTTCCATATCTTCACTATGGTAAATAATGCTCTGCTTAACATGGGGATGCATATAAGTTTTTGAATTAATGTTTTTGTTTTCTTTGGATAAATACCTAGAAGTGGAATTGCTGGATTGTATGGCAATTCTATTTTTAATTTTTTGAGGAATCTCCATACTGTTTCTGTAGTGACTGGCTGCACCATTTTACATTGCCATCAATAGTGCATGAAAATTTCTTTTCTTCACATTCACACTAGTACTAAATACTTCTTGTCTTTTTGATTTTAGCCATTCTGGCAGGTGTGAGGGGAAATCTCATTATTGCTTTGATTTGCATTTCACAGATGGTAGTGATGTTGGGCATCTTTTCATGTGCCTTTTGGCCATCTGTATGTCTTAGAGATTTTTCTTCTTTCTTGAGGTAGGCCTGTCTTGATGTAAACTTCCCTGTTGGATCTGGTTTTGCTGCATTTCATAGATTTTGGAACATTGTATTTTCATTTTCATTTTTCTCAAGTTATTTTTTAATATCCTCTTATTGTCCTATTGGCTTTTTAGTAACATGTTTTTTAGTCTCTGCATGTTTATGTTTTTTTCCAGTTTTATTCTTGTAATTGATTTCTAGTTTCGTATCATTATGGTTGGAAAAGACACTTGATATGATTTCAGTCTTCCTAAATTTATTGAGACTTATTTTGTGGTTTGTCATGCTATTATTGTAGAGGAATGTTTCATGTGCTTGAGAAGAACTGTATCTTCTGTTTTTGGGTGGACTGTTCTGTATATATCTGTTTAGTATATTTGTTCTAATGTGTTATTTAAGCCATTGTTTTCTTACACATTTTCTGTCTGGATGATCTATCTATTGATGTAAGTAAGGAGTGTGTTAAAATCCCCTACTATTATTGTATTACTCGCAGGTTCTCGTTTTTGTCTGGTAATACTTGTTTTATATATTTAGGTGCTCCAGTGTTGGGCACATGAATATTTACAAGTGTTATACCTTCTTGTTGGTTTAATCTCTTTATCATTATGTAATGCATTTGTCTTTTGTTACACCTTTTTAAAAAGTCTACTTTGATAAAAGTATTGCCAGCTCAGCTTTCTTTTCATTTCTATTTGCATGGTGTATCTTTTCCTATCACTTCACTTTTAGTCTGTGTGTGTCTGTAGAGAGTGAGTCTCTCATTGGCAGCATAGAGGGTTTTTTTTTTTTTTTTTTTACTCATTTACATTTGAAGTTTTTACTGACAGGTACATATTTATTTATTACTATTTTGTTAATTGTCTTCTGTTATTTTTATAGTTCTTCTCTGTTCCTTTCTTTTCTTGCTCTCTTTCCTTGTGATTTGATGATTTTGTTTATTGTTCTGTTTGGATTCCTTTTTATTTTTTGTGTACCTATTAGAGGTTTTTGTTTGTGATTACCATGAGCTTCATATCTAACAACCTATGTATATAGAAGCCCATTTTAAGTTGGTGATTCCTTAAGTTCAAATGCATCCTAAAAGTACTACATTTTTAGTCTCATCTCCCAATGTTTTATATTTTTGATGGCATATTTTAAACTTTTTATTTAGTGTATTCCTTAACTAATTATTGTAGATGTAGTTGATTTTATTACTTTTGTTTTTCAGTCTTTATACTTGCTTTCCAAGTGAGTGATCCCCTACCTTTATATATGTTTGCCTTTACTGGTGTGATTTTTTTCTTTCCTTTATTTTCTTATTTCTAGTTATAGACTTTTTTCTTCCTGCCTGAAGAATTCTCTTTAATATTTCTTGTAAAGCATTTTTAGTGGTGATGAACTTCCTTAATTTTTGCTCATCTGCAAAACTCTTTATCTTCCTTTCAATTCTAAATGATAATGTTGAGGCATATGTCTCTTTAGGTGACTTACTTTTATGTTTCTCATAAATATATGGAAAAAACTATTAGGAAAGACAGCTTTATACTTTGCTTTGAGGTCTTTAAAACACTAAGTGTGTGTGTATTATTTTTTTCAAAGATGGACCACGACCTAATCAAAAAGAAATACTTTCTCTACGAGCATTCTTGTTGATGTTCATTAAGCAGTTAGTGATGAAGGTGAGTTTATACTACTTCTCCTTTAGCATGTTCTGTATTTTAACTTATAATTTCACATAAGATACAATCTTGGGTTTATTTACCCTTTGTTGGGTTATTAGGGTTACACATTGGAAAATACTCTGAAAGATACTTGATTCTATGTTTTTCGTTCTTTATTGCACACATATATGGATGTACATCATTGCAGAATTGGAGATTGATAATTGTAATATATGTTATATGAATTTCTCTAGGGGTTCAAGTGATTCATTCTTTCAGTAAATATTTACTGAGTTTCTCTTAAGTACTAGGTATTATTCTTGGGAGTAGTGATAACAGTAGACAACAAGACTCTTCAAGGAGGTTTCATTTTTAGTGGGCCTCTTGTACCTGACATTCAGATTTTGAGAAAAAATTTCCATGTATAAAGGTACCAGAAAGATGTATCAGCCTTTAGAAATTATTACATTTATCCCATCTTATTCTGTTGTAGGTAAAGTAAAATTTATTATTATTATTATTATTATTTTTTCCGTATCATTATTTTTAATGTCCAGCATTTACAACACAAGGGCCAGAGCTTTCTCCCCAACTCAAGTTTATAAATTCTCAATTGGCTTGTGAGGCCAATAGGGATACTTCTTCTTGTCTAATCTGGTTTCTGGGAAGACTTCATTCAGGTCCTCAGTGGTCATCTGATCAAATGGAATTATGTTCCTCATCTTCTCCAACTCTTTTTCATATTCCTCAATCCTGGCCTTTGAGAGAGACAAAAACTCGGCACAACTTTTCACATCTTCTTTTTCTTCAGCATCCACCTGAACAGTATATTTATCCTCTGACACAGGAACCTTCAGGGCATTAAACTTCTTCTCAAAGTCATCTACCAAACCAGCCTTTGCCACATTGGCCTTGTAGTAAGCCCAGTCGATAGCAGGTGGTTTCTCAGGGAGAGTAGCCAATCTGGAGGTAAATGTCTCATTCCAGGATTTCAGGGAGTTAGCAATGGCCTTCTGGTTTCGGGGTATGATCTCCCCAAAAGCTACCCAGTCAATGGTTTTTAGAGCAAGTTTTCACGCAGCCATCTTGAGATCCTTCACCGACCCCGGCGGCCTAGAGTCCACAGCAGCAAGGAACGGAACTAAATTTATTATTTTTAAGGAAGGTTTTTTTGTTTTATAAGAGAGCAATGTATAAATGTATTTTATTATTTTTAATATTAAATATATTTATTATTATTTTAATATTTTATTATTTTCCTGTGTCATTTTCTTTTCTTTTTAGAATTTAATATTATGTTAAGTGGGCCAAACTTTTAGTATATCTTTTAGACTCAGATACCTTATTTCTATTTACAAAAAACATAACTTGATTTTTGTGTTTTTTAATTTTTTTCTGTGTGTTTTTGTTTCCTAATTCTCTTTCTTATTGCTCTTTTCTCATTGCAGCTTTGTGTTATCATTAATAAATTGATAGGATAGGTTGAAAATTTACATACTGAGTTCATATTTAAAAATGCAGTGTTTTCCTCAGGGAACAATACTACTCACTTTTTAGTACCTGACCTTGTAAGTGGTAATTTTAGAAGCTGTTCATTTATTCTCCAAATTTAATAGAAAAAAGAAATAGAAAAGTTGTCTTCTCTATTTGGTGGACTGATAGGTGTGAATAGTACTCTTTTATGATGAATTATTCATTTTCTTCAGGATTCTATAGCTTTATTAGATAGCCTGTCATATATGGTTCTGAAAACAGGATACTTGATATCATTTCTTTGACTTCTTCTACACAGTCTTGATTATTGAATATCTTCAGTGTTTCCTCTAATACATGTTTTAGATTTAGATTCTATATTATAGTATCTTTGTATATATAGCAGTTGACCAGGTTGACAAATGTTAGGTGTATTATTTACCTTTTAAAAAAACTTTTTTAAATGCATGTATATATAAGATATTTTAAGACACTTATGTTATGTTTTTAAAGGATTCTGGAGTAAAGGAAGATGAACTGCAGGCCATTCTTAATTACCTACTCACTATGCATGAGGTAACATTTGAAATTTATATTTTGGGATTTTATTTTTTGAAGCTGCATTATGGTCTTTGTTTTTAAAGTGAAAAAGTTAAAGTGATCTTTCATTAATATAACTGTAATGGAGAGTAAATGTCCTTAGGAACTAAATCTTTTTTTTTTTATTTTAAAAAGTTTTTATTGTTATGTTAATCACCATATATTACATAATTTGTTTTGGTGTACTGTTCCATGATTCATTGTTTGTTCATAACACCCAGTGCTCCATGCAGAACATGCCCTCCTCAATACCCATCGCCAGGCTAACCCATCCCCCCACCCTCCTCTCCTCCAGAAACCTCAGTTTGTTTTTCAGAGTCCATCATCTCTCTTAGGAACTAAATCTTAGCAACTTTCATTTAAATATCTTTTATTACCACAAGAAGCTCTGAGAATAATCATGAAAAGTTTTAAAAAGTTTTGAAATTGGGTATCATTGAATTAATAAAGTATGCCAAAAAGGAGGCTCCTGGGTGGCTCAGTTGGTTAAGCGACTGCCTTCGGCTCAGGTCATGATCTCAGGGTCCTGGGATCGAGACCCGCATTGGGCTCCCTGCTTGGGCGGAAGCCTGCTTTTTCCTTTCCCATTCCCCCTGCTTGTGTTCCCTCTCTTGCTGTCTCTGTGTCAAATAAATAAATAAAATCTTAAAAAAAAAATAAAAGAGAGTATGCCAAAGAATACCTTCATTGTATCTCTAGGAACCTGTGTAACATATGGGAAAATAGGTTATAAAAATGACTAAAAATGATTAGATTTTTAAATTCATAAAACAATCTTCGAATTGATTTTGCATGTTCAAATACTTTTAAGTCAAACAACTTATTTATAATGGGATTTGTAATTATGTTCAACCACATAACCAAGGTTGAAAAATAGGTTGAAATGTTTGGGGTTTTCTTTATTATTTTGCCCTGGGAAAATGTAATACACGCCGACGTAATCTAATTAAGTAATTGGGTTAAGTATTTGTTAAATAAGTAAAATTTAAAATTGATGTTATTTCATGGAAAGCACAGCATTTCAAATGTTAATTTCATTTTTATTTATAGTTCATGTCTTGTGTTTTAATAAATATCTGTTATAGTGTGAAATAATGTCTTTTTAAATCAATAGATGGGAGATACTGTTTTGACCTGTTGCTCTTAATTGAGGTAGAAGAGTGGATTAAATTTCTTTTTTGGATCATATTTGACTCAAACCTAATGATTGTGCTTTCTTTTTCCTCTTGATTAGGGTATTTTATTTGTTGATTTCCTTTACCCGATGTAATAGTTGAAGATTTTTCAACCGAACTTCCTAGTAATGTTATTGTGTATGATTTTGTTTTTTATTTACTCTAACTCCCTATGGGACTGAAGTACTTTAAAAAAGAGAAACTGGAAATCATGGTGATCTTCTCTTTTCTCTTAATCTGTTAATTCAGAATCTTTTAGGTCTTTCAAATAAACCTTTTCCCAAGCTTCAGTGCCCTAGCTCTAGATTATCTGCTTAGCTTAGTGAAAATTAGATGTTCAAATAGCTGCAGTTCCAAAGCAGTGAACAGAAACTTGCAGACAGGGCAACAGAGAAAACTAGCTCTTGATAGCTGCTTCCCTTGTCCTTTTTTGAGTCACTATTGCCAAGTTGGTTCTAAATATGCATACGTACTGTAATATTCAACCAAGGCTGTGTAGGATTGTCTTGGAGTTGTTTTGGATTTCAGAACTCATATATGCTTCTGTGCTGTTCTGTCAGTATTATCAAGTTATACTAGATACAGTAGTATGTTGCATCAGTAAACATTTACTGATAATCTGTATCTTCAATACTGTCAACAGATAATATATGAAATCTATTAGTTTTTCTCAAAAGCTTACTGTTGTAACTAGTTCTTGGGAGGGTCAGTGAATAAAGTAGTCAGGTAAAATAAATTGGGAAATGACACATAGGTTGTCTCTAACACTGCCATCAGATTGCCAACATTGATTACCTTATTAAAGGCTCTGATATGTTTTGCTATAAAAAAAGAAAACAACTTAGTTTCCCCTTTCCTCAATTTCTTGATGTATAAACCTCTGTCTAAAAAAAAACCTGTTAAGTTAGATGTAGTAGATCTATAGAATATGTTTCAGGAAATCTTGATACTCTATACTATAAGAAGGATTGTGTTTCTTTGATTAAGACATTTGACTATTTGGTGATGTGTATTTTGAGTTAAACAGATGGAATATGTGTGTAAAGAACGAGCTTGTTAAAAATAAGTATATATTGCTCAAATGTCTATTTATTATTTTAAGTTACAATTTTTTTCATTTTGGAAGTATTCGGTGTTTAAAAATTTCTTTTTTCCATATTTAAAAAAATTTCTGTTTTGATTTTAGGATGACAATCTAATGGATGTCCTACAACTGCTTGTTGCATTAATGTCAGAACATCCTAACTCTATGATTCCTGCTTTTGACCAAAGGAATGGATTACGGTAAGAGTTGTATATCAGGGATTTAAGTATATTTAAATTATAAGAGTTCAGTTTGGAAATGATAGAAGATTCTTAAATATGGGACATACTACTGGATCATATATTATAAATGAATTAAGGCATAAGACCCATTAATTTCATCTGTTATGTTTTTTGAAGAAATCTTTAATTATAGAGGATGTGTTACTATTTAATTTATAAAGACAGATCAGGCAAATCAGGTTAGTGTTTTGTATGGTTAGTGCTGTTACACAGGTATTATAGGACTGAGTTCTTTAGCAGAGTTATTTTTAGGTCCTAGAACAGTAATACTCATTTGCACTGCAAGAAAAGATCTCTCTGCTCCTCTTTAAGTATTGCTACCTTCATCCCTGATCCCAAATCATCATTGTGTTAGTCTACTTGAGCTTCCAAAACAAAATATCATAGACTGGGTTGTCTAAACAGCAGAAATTTGTTTCCTTACAGTTTTATTTTTTTTGAAATATCCTCTGAGAAACTAAGTCTTCTCATTGTGTTTAGACTATTTACGGCTACTGTAACTACTGATAAGGCTTTATTTTCACCTAGCATTTTATTATTTATTTGTCCCAGTGTAATTTTTTCCCTCTGTTTCTCTTTTCCTGTGTTCCTTGTATTTGAATTCCTTTAGTATTCTTTTAAAATTAATCTATTTGGTTTTATATCTTTCTCTGCGTAAATTTTTTTTAGTAGTTGCACAGAGATTTCAGTCTTTAATATTTTACCTCTTCAAATAAAATATAGAACCATTTCAACTATTTATCCCTTTAACCGCCATTGTTTGTTACTACATCTAATATATCACAAGTCTCTCTAGACAATGATACAATTTTTAGTTTCACTTGTTATATGTATTTTAAGAATTTAAGGGAAGAATAATCCCTGTTTATATTTTTCCAGATAGTTATAACTTCTTTTATTCTTTTCTTCCATTCTGGAAGAACTCTATTCACATTTGTTGTTGAGCAGTTTCCTTGGAAATGAATTTTTAAATTATTTTTCCTGAATATAATTTTTAAAAAGATTTATTTATTTGTTTTAGAGAGTGCAAGTGGGGGGAGGGGCAAAGAAAGAGGGAGAGAGAATCTCAAGCAGACTCCCTGCTGAGCATGGAGCCGGAAGCAGGGCTCCGTCTCATGACCTGAGATCATGACCTGAGCTGAAACCAAGACACTCAACCGACTGGACCACCCGGGTGCCCCTCTGAATATAATTTTATCTGGCCTTCATCACACAAGGTTATTTTTGTTGCATATAGAATTCTGTGTAGAATTCTACTCATTTCTTTTAGTACTTTAAAATATTTTTCCATTGTTTGCTGGTACCCATGGTTTCAAATGAGAAATACATCGTTATTTAAATCTTTATTTGCTAAATAAAATGTACTGCATTTTTGTACTTGTTTTCAAGACATTCTCTAGCTCCCCCTACAATTTTATTGTAGTTTTCTTTGTGATTATCACCAATTTTGAGATGTTTTGGGCCCTTATTTTCCTATTTTTTGCTTCAGTTATATCTCTCTCCCTTTACTTTGGGTCTCTAGTGATATGAATATTAGGGGTTTTGATGTACACATCCCTGAGCCTCTTTTGAGTTTATGTCAGTCTTTTTCCTTTGTTCTTCAGATTTGATACTGTCTGTTGATATAGAAGCTCTCTATGTGTGATAAACTTATCTTCAACTTTATGGACTTTTTGTTTGCTTTTTCTATTTTGGTATTAAGCTCATCTCATAAATATTTTAGATTTGTACATTTCATTTGTATAATTTTAATATGGTTAATTTTATACTTTTTTGTTGAGAACCCTATTTTCTGATACTGTTAGTAGACTGTGTTTACTTTTACCTTCCAGAGGATATTTATAATAGCTCCTTTAATATCTTTGTGTTATAATTACAACAATTTGCCCATCTCATCAGCATTTGTTCAGTGTCTTTTCCTGTGAGAAATGGTTATATTTTCTTGGTTCTTTGTATGTTGAGTAATTTTTTAATGTATCGTAGACAATGTGAATGTTATCTTTTATAAAGTATGTGTTTTGTTAAAATCCTCTAATGCTGACATTTTGTTTTATTTTAGTAAGAAGGGTCAGACTGCAAGTTCTACCTATCCTTTGTGGGTAGGGGTTCCAAATGTCATTTATTGTAAAAAACCCCTCTTGTCCTGCTTTGTGTCTTTGTTGCACATAATGCACTCAGTGATTAGGTAGAGAATTAGGTGATAATTCAATATCTTTTTTTAATTAATTAATTTTTATTTATTTATTTTTTAAGATTATTTATTTATTTGTCAGAGAGAGGGAGAGAGCGCACAAGCAGGGGGAGCAGCAGAGGGAGAGGGAGAAGCAGGCTCCTCGCTGAGCAAGGACTCCGATGTGGGACTCAATCCTAGGACCCTGGGATCATGACCTGAGCCGAAGGCAGATGCTTAACGACTGAGCCACCCAGGCGTCCCTCTTTTTTTAATTTAGGAAGATTTTGCTGTTCTGGTCTGTGTCTACTCCACACAAGTACATCTCTTGGGTCAGTTTAGGAATTTTGTGGGTTTTTACAAAGATTTTGAGAATCTTTCCCTTCCTCCCCCTACCCCCCTACCCCCCTGCCGCCTGTGCGAACTCATTTTCTTAGTTCCTCTAACCAAAGGTCAATTTTTGTTAGAATATTAGCCATCTGAGCTTCTAACATCCACCTCTGAGATAAGAGCTCACTTTTGGGTCAGACTTAAAAGGGAAAATAAAAATTGAGACTCTTCTCTCTCTAATGGATAATTCTCCAAATTTTACCTCCTTTACACCAATGCATCTGCTTTTGTTTGGTCTTTAGAGTACTTAACGAAATTGCTTTTTGTATTTTTTCCCATTGTTTTAGTTCTAATATGTGAGACAGGTCGTTATTAGCTTTACTCTATCTTGGTTGAACCAGAACTCCCTGTTGATTGTTTAGTTTTCCTTCTTTCTTTCCTTATTTATTTATTTATTTATTTATATATTGATTTTTATTTTATTTTATTTTATTTTTTAAAGATTTTATTTATTTATTTGACAGAGAGAGAGAGAGAGACAGCGAAAGAGGGAATATAAGCAGGGGGAGCAGGAGAGGGAGAAGCAGGCTTCCTGCAGAGCAGGGAGCCCGATGTGGGGCTCGATCCCAGGACCCTGAGATCATGACCTGAGTCGAAGGCAGGTGAAGGCAGACGCTTAACAACTGAGCCACCCAGGCGCCCCTCCTTTTTTTTTTTTTGAGATTTATTTATTTTAAAGAGAGAGCACAAGAGAGCGAGTGAGCATGTGTGCATGAGCGGGGGGGAGGGGCAGAATGTGAGGAGGAGAGAGAATCCTCAAGCAGACTCCCCGCTGAGTGGGGAGCCCACTTTGGGGTTTAATTGCAGGACCCTGAGATCATGACCTGAGCAGAAAGCAAGAGTTGGCTTCTTAACTGACTGAGCCACCCAGGTGCCCCTAGTTTTCTTTTCTAAAAATATTTTCTGTTTAATGATTTTATAATACTATATTTCCTTTCTTCTTGGTGGACTTTATTATTTCTTATAAGACATGTATGTTAGCAATGAATTTTCCCAGTCTGTTCATCTGAGAATACTTATACTTCTCTTCATTTTTGGATAATAATTATGCTGGATATAAATTTTAACAGTTTTCTTTCAGTTTGCACTTTGGTTTAATTGACTTTTGGCCTCTGTGCTGAGATGTTGGCCTTGTATTACTGTTGTTTTCTATATGTTGAGTCATATTCCTCTTGATGCTTTTAACAATTTTTTTTGTCTTTGAATTTTTACTATATTTTGTTAAGTTGTGATTCTCTGTTTTTTATCCTTTTGTTACTGAGTTCTTAGATCTGTAAGTTAATGTTTTTTCATTAAATTTTGGAAGATTTCCCCCCATAGTTTCTTCAGAAAGTTTTTCTTCCCCATTCCTCTTTTTTTGGCTCTTGCATTATACCTACGACGGAATACTACATTGTCTCACAGGTTTCTAAAGGTCTGTTAATTTACCTTCCATCGTTTTCTTTCTGTTCTTCAGATTGGATAATTTCTTTTGATCTGTTGAAGTTCACAGACTCTTTTGCCATCTGAATCTGCTGTTGAGTACCTCTTGTGAATTTTTCTTTTTTCGTGTTTACTTTTCACCTCTAGAATCTTCATGTGGTTCGTTTTTATCTTTATTGAAGTTTCCTTATTGTTTAGTTACTGTTAATCTGTTTCCTTTTAATTACTTAAACATACCATTTTAAAATTAGTTGAATGTATTTATTGCATGTCTTGGAAGTGTTTGCAAAATCTGACACTTGGAACTTGAGTCATTTCATTGACTGCTTTTTTTTTTAAATTATGTGTCACAGTTTTTTATTTCCTTGCATGTGTAGTAATTTTGGTTGAAAACTGAGTATTTCAGATAAATATTATAGCAAGTTTGACTTCTGTTTTGTTTGTCCATGGGTTGTTGGTTTTCTTTTTTTTTTAAAGATTTATTTATTTGAGAGAGGGAGAGTGAGCAAGGGAGCACATGAGCTGCAGGGGCAGAGGGAGAGAATCTTGAGCAGACTCTGTGCTGAGTGCAGAGCCTGATGTGGGGCTTGATCTCACGACCCTGAGATCACCACCTGAGCTGAAACCGAGTCGGACGCTTAACCAACTGCACCATCCAGGTGCCCCATTGGTTTTCTTTTTTAAAAAGATTTCATTTTTAAATAATCTTTATACCCAACATGGGGTTTGAACTCACAACCCTGAAATTAAGAGTTGGCTTGATCTACTGACTGAGCCAGCCAGGTGCCCCATGGGTTATTGGTTTTTTGTTTGTTTTAATAATTTGCCTTGTCTAATCTCCAGATTTTATTTACTCCATGGTGTGCAGCATCTGGTTTCTCAGGTTGTTATTTATTTATGCTTTTTATTTCTTCTCTGTTTTCTCTCCCTGTCCCTCTCAACTGGGACGGTGGTTTGGGCATTAGTCCCATCATCA